AAAAAAAAAAAAAAAAAAAAAAAAAAAAAAAAAAAAAAAAAAAAAAAAAAACAAAAAAAAAAAGAAGGGTGTTCTCCTTTCTTTTTTATAGTAGCAAACCCTCCAATGATAGCATACATACAACCCAAACCCTAATTTAGGGTTTACGAGGGTTTACGAGGGTTTACGTTACTATTGTTGCAGGAGATCTGTACCGAGCTACCATACCTAAACCCTAAACCCTAGCTGGCAAAGGGTTTGTGTAGGGTTTTGTTGCTTGTGTCTTCCTTATAAAGAATAGAAGGAGAGGCCTAATTGAGGTGTACGTACACCTCATAAACCCTTAGAATAGGGTTTAGTGACCATGTATCTATAGATTCTAGGGTTTAGGGTTTAGGGTTTAGGGTTTTATATGTGTACAAAAAAATAAAAGAAACAATAAATAAAAACCTTTAAAGGGTTTATTGGTGTATATTTTAATGTCTTTTTCTTCTTTTTTTCTTTTTTTTTCTTTCTTTCTTTGTTTTATTTATTAAGAAGAAGAAGAAGGAGAAGAATAACCAGTAAGAATATGTATCTTCTTCTTATATAAATAAATAAACAAATAAAAACCCTTTGTATAGTATCTTCTTCCTCTATTTATTATTTATAATATAAAAAATAAAAAGAAAAGAAATAAAAACAAAAAAAAAGAAGAAAAATATATTTTTTTTGTTTATATTTATATATAGAGGTGAGCTGCCTATACACCTGAAACAGGCGGCGGGCTGCGGCGGCGGCGGCGGCGGGTATTAATAGGGGCGTTTTTAGGTAAATTAATGAATAAATACATGAAAATAACCTAAAAATTAATAAAAAGTACGAAATTATACTCATAAATATACTTTTTTCTTCTTTTTTACGTTTATTTTACGTTTTTTTATGCCTCTTCTTATATATATGACCCAGCAGCAGCAGCAGCAGCAGCAGCAGCAGCACAGGAGGCCGTGCGCTGCCGCCGCCATAGAGAGAGAGAGTCATTCCTTTATTCAATGAATAAAAAGGGTAATTCTTATAACAATTCCTTCTTTTTTTTCTTCTTTTTTTCTTTTATTTGTTTATATTTGTATATTTTAATTGTTTTATCTATTTATCTACAAAGAAGAACCGTAAAATTTACTCGTCACCAACAGCAGCAGCAGCATCAGCAGCAGCAGCAGTAAATCCATACCTCCCTATATACACCCCAATTCTTACCTGCATATACACCCGAATTCTTCTCTCTTCTTCTACCTTATTGAGGTGTACGTACACCCCAATTAAGGCAAAGAGCAGCAGCAGCAAATATATTCACTGCTAGGGGACAGCAGCACAGAGGCCGATCTAACGAGTGGTCAACCAGCAGCAGCAGCAACAGCAGCAACAGCAGCAGCAGCAGCAGCAGCAACAGCAGCAGGAATAAAAAGGATAGAATAAACGGGTAAAAGGAGAGAAAAGGAACAAAAGGAGACAAAAGAAGAGGAAAAGAAGAAAAGAAGAAAAAGGAGACACAAAAGGAGACACAAAAGGAGACAATAAATAATAATATAAATGAATAAAAAAGAGACAAAAAGAGACAAAAAGAGACAAAAGGAGACAAAAAGAAAATAAAAATAAATATAAATAAAATAAGGGTTTAGCAAGAAAAAAGAAAAGGGTTATAAACCCTAATTCTTTCTTATATATATTTATATAGATCTAGATCTTCATCTCCAACCAAACCCTAAACCCTAAACCCTAAACCCTAAACCCTAGGAGGGTTTCCTCTCCCTGTATAAAGAATGGGGGCGGGACTCTCCTGTCAGTGTTTTGATTCCGTAAAGAATGACGAGGCAGAATTCGTACCAGGAATACAACAAGACACTAATGCATCCGTAAGGGTTTAGGGTTTAGGGTTTAGGGTTTAGGGTTTGGGGTTTAGAGCAAATACTCTCTACGGGTTCAGATGGAGATATAAAATAAAGAGAGGGGTTACCTTCTCTAGCAATCGAATGGTTGTTGGCTGTAGGGTTTAGGGTTTAGGGTTTAGATCTTAGGGTTTAGGGTTTAGGGTTTAGGGTTTGTGTCTTTTTGTGCAGGCAGGCTCGGCGAAGACAATAGTGTTAAGTACGTCCTGTTTACCTGAGTCTTTTTCCCTATCTATTTAGTGTTTTGTTCTAGGGTTTAGGGTTTAGGGTTTAGGGTTTAGGGTTTGTAAGGTTTTAAATTCCATGAAAATCGTCTATTCTTTAAAATTTAATTTTTTGGGTTTAGGGTTTAGGGTTTAGGGTTTAGGGTTTAGGGTTTAGGGTTTAGGGTTTGGTGTATATATATAGGTGGAGGAGTTCAATATACAGGAGAATTAAAGAATGGACAAAAACACGGATATGGTGTATTAATTCGTCCCTGTGGATCTAAATTCTCTGGTTATTTTAAGGATGGAGTAGCAGAAGGAGAGGGAACTTTTATTCATCCTCTAGGTATGCTCCTTCTTCTTCTGCTGCTCCTGCTGCTCCTGCTGCTGCACTTGCTGCTGCACTTGCTGCTGCACTTGCTGCTGCTAGGGTTGGGGATGGGGAGATGGGTGTTTATGGCGTTTTTAGCACATTTATACTCATCAAATCCGATGTCGTAGAGAAATTAGGGTTTAGGGTTTAGGGTTTAGGGTTTAGGGTTTTTGAGGGTTTAGGGAATAAATATGAAGGACAATGGAAGAATAATAAGGCCCATGGTAGAGGGAGGTTTACGCATGCAGATGGATCTTATTATGATGGTAAACCCTAAACCTTAAACCCTAAACCCTAAACCCTTATTCTTCCTCAACCTGCCAGTCTTTCTCCTCTTTCCTCTCCCTTCAAGCTCTCGCCTCCCTCCCCCCTACTACTACTACTACTACTACTACTACTACTACTACTACTACTACTGCTGCTGCTGCTGCTGCTGCTGCATTAGGCCAATGGGTATGCGATGTACAAGAGGGTTACGGGCGTGAGCATTGGGCAGACGGCAGCAGCTACGAAGGAGAATACAAGAAAGGAGTAAAAGAAGGAAAAGGAACTTTTTGTTGGCAAGACGGTAGTGTATATAAGGGGCAATTTATTAATAATTATATTCATGGTTATGGTGTATATACATGGAATGATCATAAACAATATGCAGGTAAACCCTAAACCCTAATTAAATATATAATTAACCCTAATTAACCCTTATTTACCCTAAACAATAAAAAAATGCAAAAAAAATCAGAAAAATTGACCCAATACATCAGGAGATACAACTTATAAACCCTAAACCCTAAACCCTAAACCCTCATATAATGTAAATACTCAAACACCACCGATTAGGGTTTAGGGTTTAGGGTTTGTATACAGGGCAATGGGTACAGAATCATATGGAGGGACAAGGGAAGATGCTTCTTCCTGATGGTCGTGTTTATGAGGGTGGATATAAAGCAGATAAAAAACATGGTCATGGTACGTAAACCCTAAACCCTAAACCCTAAACCCTAGAAGAGTATATAAAACATCTAAACCCTATAATTGAATTTTTCTGATTCCCTTTTTCCTCTTGAATCCCGTTTGTTGTATCCACGTAATAATATTGTCTAGTATAAATTTACCCTTTATTATAAATTAAGGGTTTAGGGTTTAGGGTTTAGGGTTTAGGGTTTACGTATAGGTAAGGTGACATGGCCAGACGGCCGCTGGTTCGAAGGGGAATGGGTAGACGGCAAACAGCACGGCTTAGGTCGTTATTATTCAATGGATGGCAAAGCTGTCTCCGAGGCAGAGTGGAGATTTGGTAGAAAAATATCTGTTACTGAAGGTACTAAACCCTAAACCCTAAACCCTAAACCCTTATAAACTATTTTTTAATAATATATATTTTATATTATTCTTGATTATAGATGGTCGGAGGAGTTGGGGGGAGGTAAACGGGGAGAGAGGGGAGTTAGGGGAGGGTTTATATGGTGATATAGGGTGAGGTAGGGTTTGGGTGGGTGCCTCTAGGGTTTAGGGTTTAGGGTTTAGGGTTTAGGGTTTTTTTTTTTTTTTGCTGCAGCTCCTGTAAATACTCTTCCTCCCTCTACTGCCTTAGAATCTCTACAGACAGCAGACGAAGAAAAAAAAGAATTATTTGCTTCTTCTGTGCCTACCAACAAGGAAGACAGCAGCAGCAATGCAGCTTCTGCTGCACAGAAGCAGCAGCAGCAGCAGAAACAGCAGCAGCAGCAGCAGCAGCAGCAGCAGCAGCAGCTAGATAAACAAACATCAAAGAAAGGGGGAGGAAATCATACGCGATGGAGAAGAGAGAAATCAAAGAAAAAAGAAAAAGGAGAAGAGAGCCAAGAGGCACCTTCCCCTGCTGCTGCTGCTACTGCTCCTGCTCCTGCTGCAGGAAAAAAAGGAGCAGCAGCAGCAGCAGCAGCAGCAGCAAATGATGCAGACGCACCAACAGCAGCAAAGAAGAAAAAAGGGTTCTCTTTATTTGGCAAGAAAGAATCTAAACCCTAAAAAAGGGTTTGTGATTAACTTTATATTTGCTGCTTTTGTTTTGGCCTTCCTGCAGCAGCAGCAGCAGCAGCAGCAGCAGCTGTAGCAGCAGCAGCAGCAGCAGCAGCAGGAGACTCCTGCTGCTGCTGCTTGCTTGCTGCACCTTATATCTCTTTTGACCTGTCAATCCTTCTTTCTATAAACCCTCCTTGTCTTACCAACACCAAACCCTAAACCCTAAACCCTAAACCCTAGTAATGCAGATAAGGGAGAGGCAGGGACTTTATGGATATGTGTGGGTTTACACACCCTGCGTATGTTTTTTTTCCTCCTCCTTGTCCTAGGGTTTAGGGTTTAGGGTTTAGGGAGGGTATTCGGGTGTACCGACAGCTGCTGCGGCGGCAGCAGCAGCAGCAGCAGCAGGGCCTCACGGGGTGTATATGCACCCCTTGTCTTTTTTTTTATTTAATTATTTAATTTATTATTTTTTTTATAATAAATAATATAATTATTATAATTATAATTATAAATGTATAATTATATAAATTATTATTAATAAAAGACAAAGGATGCATGCATGCTGTTGTTGCTGTTGCTGCTGCTGCTGCTGTTGTTGCTGCTGCTGTTGCTGCTGCAGTTGTTGCTTCTTCGTCGATCTTCTATTGATTAATTAATTCTTCTTTTAATAAATAAATAAATAAATAAATATAAATATAAATATAAATATAAATATAAATATAAATATAAATAAATAATAAATAATAAATAAAAAGAATAATTCTTTTTCTTCTTTCTTTTATTACTATCGATAGAGTGCGTATACACAGCAAGAAAGAAGAAATAAATAATTATTTTCTTTTTTTTATTAATAATAAATAGAAAGAAAAGGAAAAAGGAATAATTAATAGTGTAAAAGAGGGAAAAAGGTTCTTTTTTTCCTCTATTTATTGCTGCAGTATAAAGTACCCTCTGTGGGGGGGGGGGCCCCTCGGGATCGAAGAAAGGGTTTAGGGTTTAGGGTTTAGGGTTTAGGGTTTAGAGATTGAATGGATGAAATAAATGGATAAATGATTCTTTTTAAAGAAAATAATTTCTTTTTTTATTTATTTATGAATATTTATTGATTATTGATTCTTTTTTTCTTTTTTTGTGGATATTTTTTCCTTCTTTTTTTTATCTATATACATACATATATAACCCGTCAATAAAAAGAGGAAAAACAGCGTTATTTAATGAACAAAATTGATTTTTTTTCTTTTTTTAAATAAATAATGAATAAATAAATAAATATAATTAATAAAAATGGAGAAAATAGATGATTTTATGTCCTTTGTAAGGAAATTAAAGGAAGTAAAAAGAGCAGGTTGGCTACGGTACATACACCCCAATAATGCAGAAAGTGTTGCAGATCATTCTTATGGCGTTTCTCTTCATTTTCTTGCTTTTTCTGATCAAGATCTTCTAATTAATAATAAATTAGCAGATAGAAATAAGTAAGTTTATTTATTTCTTTTTTTTTACACCAAGAATAATACTTTTTTCCTCTTTTTTCCCTCTCTTTTGCATATACAGTACTAGTATAGTTATACAAAAAATTCATGTTTTTTTTTCCCCTCCTTTTTCTTCATTTTTATTCATAAAAAAGTATTTTTTATATTAATAAATATATTTAAATAAATAAAAGAAAATAATAAGCATAATAAATTCATATTAATATTTCTTCATGAATTCTTTATTTTTCCCCCTTTATTTATTTATTTATTTATTTATTTATTTATTTATTTATTTATTTATTCAGGTGTATAATGATGTCCATGATTCACGATCTTGCTGAATCAATTGTTGGAGATTTTACACCTTTTGATGAAATTACACCGCAAGAAAAAGAAGAAAAAGAAAGAAAGGCAATTAATTGTATTTGTTCTTCTCTAGATAAAGAAAGAGCACAATTTATTATTAATCTATGGGAAGAATATGAACAAGGTATACATTTATTTATTTATTTATTTATTTATTTATTTATTTATTTATTTATTTATTTATTTATTTATATTATGTTGTTTATATGGGGGAAAGGGATTAAAATGATCACATATAAACCCTAAACCCTAAACCCTAAACCCTAATTTGTATTTTGTGTCTACAGGAGAAACACCAGAGGCAATGCTTGTTAAGGATGCAGATAAATTAGATATGATTACACAAGTAAGTAAATTATTTTATTTATTTATTTATTTTATTTAATTAATTAATTAGGTAATTAATTAATTAATTAATTTTATTTATTTATTTATTTATTTTATTTGTTTATTTATTTGCTACTAGCTGTTTTGTGGTGTATATATTCTCTTGTCTATTAACTACACAACATAATAATATATATTAAATTAACAATTAAATTAATTTAATTAATTAATTAATTAATTTATTTATTTATTTATTTATTTATTTATTTATTTATTTATTTATTTATTTTCTTATAGGCCTTTGAGTATGAGAAGAAACACAAAGTATGTCTTGATGAATTTTATAAATCAACAGAAAAAATATTTAAAACAAATTTATTTAAAACCCTAAATATACAATTAAGAAAAAAAAGACAAGAATATTTCCTAAACCCTAAACCCTAAACCCTAAACCCTAAACCCTAAACCCTAAACCCTAGATAGGAATATTTGGAAATATATGGAAATATATATTAAAAAGGAATTTATTCAAAACCCTAAATTTATAATTTAAGGAAAAAAAAAGATTAATATTTACTAAACCCTAAACCCTAAACCCTAAACCCTAAACACTAATTTGGAAATATATATCAAACCCTTATCTGTAAACCCTAGCTGGTTAAACCCTTTGTTTTATTCTTCTATTAATAAAGAAAAATATAATTGTTATTTATTATTATTTAGTAAATAATAATAAATAATAATAAATAAATAAACAATAATAAATAAATAAATAATAATGTTGTACGTACACCGCAAGGTGTATAACAAAGACTTTCTTTTCTTTTATTTCTTTTATTTTATTTCTTTTATTTTATAAATAATTAATTCTTTTTCTTTTATTTATATAAAAGATGTAGATAAAGAAAGAAATATTTAATACATTTATTCATTTCTTTTTTTTTTTTTTCCTCTCCTTTTCCCTACAAGGAAGAAAATAAATACCATTAAATAAGGGAATTAATATCTGCAGGTATACCTAGCCACAGATATTAACGGCTTAACCAGTAGTTAGCTAGCCAGCTAGCTAGCTAGCTAGTTAGTTAGCTAGCCAGCTATCCAGTTAGCTAGCTTGCTAGCTAGCTAGCTAGCGACTAAAAGGAAGGGGATTTATTGATATATAAGGAATTGTTTTTTTCTCTTATAAATAAATATGTTATAGATAATATACTATTTAAATTCATAAATAAAATTAAATAATATTATTTTTTTATTATAATAAGGATAAATTGTTAAAAAAAATAATTATTATTTATTGGCTGTCTATTAACTTATTGTCTGCGGTGTATAGGCAGATAGCTGCTGCCTATATAGGGAATATATTCAATACACACTTATTTTATGTGTATATATACTATAAATTAAAATATTAATATATTTTTATATAAATAAAGTATACAATTAAATAAATTAATTAATTAAAATTAATTTTTTGTCCTTTTTATTATTTTCTTTAAAGTAATGAGGTGTATATACACCCGGAAAAAACCGGCAAGGGGGGAGGGGGGGGTAAGCAGAGCTAGTGTATTTTTACTATTATTTTCTTTTTTTCCTTTTTCTTTTATTAAATTGTATTTTATTTAACTAAATAAAAATATTATTTAATTTTATTTCATGAATTTAAATGGTAATTAGCAGCAGCAGCTGCTGCTGCTGTTGATTAAGTCTCGATGCATGCAAGAGCGGTTTCTCCACAAGAAAACATTTTTTATTCCCTTTTCTTTCTTATTCTTCTTTTTTAATCTTTTTTTTAATTATTATTTATTATTCATTTAATTATATTTAAACAAAAAAGTGCAAAAGATAGTCAGCGTCTCGGGCTTTCCCGGTTTTACAGGGAACGCTCTTCAAACCCTAAACCATAAACCCTAAACCCTAAACCCTAATTTTGTTTATGGCGCAGTGTTTATTCTATTTATATGAATAAAGACGAATAAACCATCAGCCTGTTCAAATCCCAAACCCTAGGAGTCCCTAGGTGTCCGCAAACCCTAGGAAACCCTAGTAAAGCCTGGGTATCCCTAGGAATCCCTAGTAAACCCTAAACCCTAAACCCTAAACCCTAATCCGTCAACATGTCTCTCATCAATAATATTTGCCCCCTTGATGGGAGATACCGGGAAGCAACAGAAGAATTGAGGAAAGTGTGGGGAGATATACACCTTATGCGTCATAGGGTTTATGTTGAGGTCAGCCCCAAAGGGTTTAGGGTTTAGGGTTTAGGGTTTTCTAGGGTTTGTTAGAATTCGATATCGTCTCTTCTTGTCAGATCGCTAGGGTTTAGGGTTTTCTGAGATTAGGGTTTAGGGTTTAGGGTTTAGGGTTTGTGTATTATTGTTGCAGCTAAAATGGTTAGAGTTTTTTGTTGCGAATGTTCACCCTCAAGTCCCTCTTACTCCTGAACAGCTCCGTCCGTCTAAACCCTAAACCCTAAACCCTAAACCCTAAACCCTAATCCCTAGACCCTAGAGCGAGTATTGAATCAAATTGTTTCGTTTCAGCTGAGCATTGCCCGCTGCTGCTGCTGCTACTACTACTGCTGTTGTTGCTGCTGCTACTGCTGCTGCTGCTGCTGCTGCTGCTGCTGCTGCAGGGGATTTAGAGCCTCTGTATGAGGTAACAGAAGAAAATCTTCAAAGAATATTTGCCATAGAAAAACAAACAAATCACGATGTTAAGGCTGTTGAATATTATATAAGGGTTAGTTATCTAGGGTTTAGGGTTTAGGGTTTAGGGTTTAGGGTTTGTATACAGGAAGGGTTTGTGTACATGACGCCTATGTTGTGTGTGTTTCGGTGTTGAGTGTATAGTGGAATTGTCTTGAGGGTTTATGTGGGTGTCAAATGTAGTGTTTAGGGTTTAGGGTTTAGGGTTTAGGGTTTATATGCAGGAGAGGTTGGAGGCAATTCCTTCATTATCTTCTTTATTAGGGTTTGTGCATATTCTCTGCACAAGCGAAGATATAAATAGTATTTCTTTTTCTTTAATGATACAAAACACTTTGTATAAAACCCTAATTCCTTCTATGCGCTCTATTGTTAATAAATTACAAACCCTAGCACAGGAGGTAATACAAACCCTAAACCCTAAACCCTAAACCCTAAACCCTAAACCCTAGAAAACACAAAACCCTCCAGCATCGAGACTCTCCAGCATGAGACAGGATATTCGTTAATTGTCTTATTATCCTATATCACATGAGTAAAGGGTTTAGGGTCTCCTACTAGGGTTTAGGGTTTAGGGTTTAGGGTTTGTGCTGCAGCATGCGGATACTCCCCTTCTTGCAAGAACTCACGGGCAGCCAGCAACCCCAACAACATTTGGCAAAGAATTTGCTGTTTATTATCATAGATTAAATAAACATCTAACTAAGTAATCCTGCTGCTGCTGTTGCTGCTGCTGCTGCTGCTGTTGCTGCTGATGCTGTTGCTGCTGATGCTGTTCTGTATCCTTCTGCAGCAAAGCAGCAGTCAATTAATGTGCTTTAGGTACTGTGTATGCATACCTTATTGTTGCTGCTGCTGCTCCTCCTGGTTGTGTTGCTGCTGCTGCTGCTGCTCCTAATTCTGTTGCTGCTGCTGCTGCTGCTGCTGCTGCTGCTGCTGCTATTATAGACTTGAAGGTACGAAGGCATACGGGAAGTTTAGTGGTGCGGTGGGGAATTTTAATGCGCACATCTTGGCCTTCCCTAATATTGATTGGCCTAAGACTGCCCAACAATTTGTAGAGGTAAGGGTTTAGGGTTTAGGGTTTAGGGTTTAGGGTTTGGCGTTGTATACAGGATTTGTGGTTGTTATTGCTACTACTAGTGTTGGGTGTATCTGATTAATGTGTTTGTATGGTGGTGTTTTGGGTGTTTGAGGGTTTAGGGTTTAGGGTTTTCTCGAGATTTTTAGGGTTTAGGGTTTTTTAGGGTTTAGGGTTTGTGCAGGGTTTAGGGGTTTGTTATCAACCCATGAGTACACAAATTGAACCCCATGATTGGATATCTGAATTATGTGATGATTTAGCCCGATTTAATACAACACTAATTGGTCTTTGTCAGGATTGTTGGTCATATATATCCAGGTACTAAACCCTAAACCCTAAACCCTAAACCCTAAACCCTAAACCCTAAACCCTAATTTCCAAACCCTAAACCCTAAACATGACTTCGTATACGCTAATCCCAGTTTACAAACCCTAGCTTGTCACCCCTTGTTTTGTAACCCTTTAAACCTTTATAACAGTTCAAACCCTTTCCAATACATAACCATAAACCCTAAACCCTAAACCCTAATTATTTCTTTTTTTTGTTGCAGAGACCTCCTCGTGCTGCAGCGCGTAGGAAAAGAAGTAGGCAGCAGCACAATGCCGCACAAAATAAATCCAATTGACTTTGAAAATGCAGAAGGAAATTTAGGCTTAGCGAATGCCATGTTACGATTCTTTAGGTGCGTATACACCCCAAAACCCTAAACCCTAAACCCTAAACCCTAAACACTTAAAAGAGAGGCAGATGGATGTAAAGGTGGAGGGAATGGTTTCTGTGCATTGAGAAGGGATGAAGATGGTCTTCTGGGGTGTATAGTCATCTTCTATGATTTGCAGTATATGGATGAGGGTTTAGGGTTTAGGGTTTTCTAGGGTTTAGGGTTTAGGGTTTGTGGCGTATCTTATAATACATCATTTTGTGTCATTTTTTTTATTTTTTAATATTTTTTTGTTTTTTTTAATTTATTTTCCCTCCTTTTTATTTATTTTTATTTTTTTTTTATTTATTTTGTTTGCATGCAGCGGTAAATTGCTTATATCTCGTTTACAGAGGGATTTATCTGATTCAACTTGTTTACGTAGTATAGGTACTTGTTTAGGTTATTCCTTATTAGGGTTTAGGTCCTTATTAAGGGGAATAAATAAAATAAATATTTCTTTTATTAATTCACAACAAGAACTTAATCAGCATTGGGAAGTACTCGCTGAACCTATACAAACACTTATGAGAAAGTAAATAAACCCTAAACCCTAGCTAAACCCTAAACCCTAAACCCTAGCTAAACCCTAAACCCTAGCTAAACCCTTGCTAAAGTATGGATAAACCCATTCCCTGCTCGCTGTAAACCCTAATTCAGTAAACGTTAGCGCCTATTAATAAAGAGACAAAAGGAGACAGGAAAGAAGGAGAAAAAGAAGAAAAGGAGACATTTATTTATTTATTTATTTATTTATTTATTTATTTATTGTTATGCAGGGAAGGAGACAAAGAAGCTTATGAGAGATTAAAGGAATTAACAAGAGGGACAAGTGTCTCCTTATTAGATATAAAAGAATTTATTAATAAAATAAATATAAATAAACAAGAAAAGGAGACACTTAATCAATTGTCTCCTTCTTCTTATATTGGACTTGCACCACAACTTGCCAAAGGTACACAACAAGACATAAACCCTAAACCCTAAACCCTAACATGTGTCCATACAACTAGACACAAAAAACCCTAAACCCTATAAACCCTAACAAAGATCAAATTAGGGTTTAGGGTTTAGGGGAAATATACAGTTTAGGGTCCAGAGGTGTTCTAGGGGACAGCCGATTCATTGATTGGTCCGAAACCCTTTTTTTCTTCCCTAGGGTTTAGGGTTTAGGGTTTAGGGTTTCCCTTGAGTTCTGCAATTTCTTTATTAAATATAATTAATACCTTCCCTATGTTCTTATTTTCCTCAAGTCTTGCATGCGCCTTGTCTGCTTCTTCTGCATCATATTGTGAATCCAGTATTACCTGAATATACACAAAACCCTAAATTAGGGTTTAGGGTTTAGGGTTTAGGGTTTAGGGTTTGGGGTTACCCTTAGACTAGCACGTGGTGCGTAAACCCTCGAAATAACAACTAGGCAGCCATCATACAGACCGCACAATTACCTGCTAAAGGCTTGCTGCTGTTGCTGCTGCTGCTGCTGTTGCTGTTGCTGCTGCTGCTGCTGTTAGTGTTTCTATTGTTCTTCTTCTCCAATTTCTGTTTCCTTGCTGCTGGTGCATTTTATCGTTAATTATTCTTGTATAATAATTATTAGGGTTTAGGGTGTATCTAGGGTTTAGGGTTTAGGGTTTAGCATACTTGTAGCTGTTGATCATTAAATTTGGGTAATACTTCCTGCCTAAAATTATAAATTAGGGTTTGTAGATATTCATGTTTTCTTCCTCTTAGTGTTGAGCAATAAACCCTAATTCTTTTCTCTATTAAAGAAAAAAGAGATATATTTATCTTATTTCCCCCTAAACAACCGTATAATATCCACCTGCAAACCCTCATAAACCCTATACACCCTAAACCCTAAACCCTTAAACCCGGCTGATACGTGCGCCCGTCCTTGTGACGAGGGTTTTGAGGGGTTATATGCTAGGCTTATTTCTAGGGTTTACGGTGACGCTGGGTTTAGGGTTTAGGGTTTAGGGTTTAGGGTTTGTCGTACATTCCGTCTGTTTTTAGGGATTTTAGGGTTTGATCAAATAAAGAAGATCCAACACAATCAAGAACAATATCTACTCCTCTGTATGCAGCATAAACCCTAAACCCTAAACCCTAAACCCTAGATACCCAAACCCTTTTATAAGGCGGTGCTGCAGATACACCGCAATTTCTTAAGGGATAATGCATGCATGCATAACTGCAAAAACACTAAAAAACCAATTACCACCTAGGGTTTAGGGTTTAGGGTTTAGGGTTTAGGGTTTACCGGCCCTCTGTATACTTGAGTACTTCATCCGCCAGCGATGCCCCCAACTCCTTATAATTCAAACAAACCGTTGCCCCTGATACACCCAAACCCTAAACCCTAAACCCTAAACCCTAAACCCTTGTTATAAGCCCATTAAAAGAACCGCATAAAATTATAAAGATATATAAACCCTAATTAATTCTTTTTATGAGGGTTTTATGGTGTATATACACCTAAATTGTCTTACCAACTTCTTTACTCTTTTTTAGTTTTTCTTCTCCCCCCCCAACAGCAATAACACAAACAGAAGGAAGAAAAACCCTAAATAATTGAATTAATGACAAACCCATGCCTGAGGTGTACATACACCACAGAATTTAGGGTTTAGGGTTTAGGGTTTAGGTACTGAGGGTTTAGGGCTTGGGTTCCGAGACAGACAGCAGCATAAAACAGAACGCATTTAGGGTTTAGGGTTTAGGGTTTGGTACCGGAGCCAGCGGCGTATACAAGGGCGTATTTAATGCCTGAGGGTTTTCCTCCATTCGCCTTGAAATCGGATAGTCCTGCAGTAATCATAAACCCTAAACCCTAAACCCTAAACCCTAAACTGTAAACCCTAAACTCTAAACCATAACCTGTAAACCACAATCCATAAATCCAACGCAATATGCTGCAAACCCTAATCCTTAGACCCTAAACCCTAAACCCTAAACCACGAACCTGCAACTTCTTGGAGGAGCTGATAAGCAGCAATAAAATTCTCTGGTATGCATGCGGCCTAAAAGGAGACAGCACGCAAGGGTTTAGGGTTTAGGGTTTAGGGTTTAGAATTGAGGTATGAGAGATGCCAGCATCAATCATGAATCCTACACCATAGTCTGCCCACGCACTAAACCCTAAACCCTAAACCCTAAACCCTTGCCTGTTCAACAGTGAGGTTTGGCGGTACAGGGAAACAAAATTCAGGGTCTGCTGCTACATACTCTGCATATCCTCCTCCTGCATAAGAAAGAAATAATTATTTTTTTTCTAGGGTTTAGGGTTTAGGGTTTAGGGTTTACAGTATATTAGGGTTTAGAGTCTGTAAGGAGATATAAACCCGCAGATAAACAAACCCTAACACATGTGCGCAGGCATGCTACTACTATTGCTGCTGCTGCTGCTGCTGCTGCTGTTGCTGTTGCTGCTGCTGCTGCTGCTGCTGCTGTCTCCTTACCAGGGAGGAGACAAGCAACAGGAGTGCCTGAAGGAAAAGTGTCTCCGTTTACAACAACCCCACCAACCTCAACACCTAATATTGACGAAACACCAGGAGGGGGAGGATATTTACCTGTATACAAACCCTAAACCCTAAACCCTAAACCCTAAACCCTAATTATAGATTATTTATTGTAAACCCTAGCTCCTATTGCATAAACCCTAATTGCCTGCCTGGGGAGTAAACCCTAGCATATCCGCGCTAGTCTAAGAACCCTAATCCTGTAAACCCTAATCCTGTAAACCCTAATCCTGTAAACCCTAATTTATAAACCCTAATGGGGAGGGTTTAGGTGTTTCTTTAGGGTTTGTTCCTCCCCATTAGGGTTTACAAAACCCTAAACCCTCCCTCTGCCCATAAGACAAACCCCTCTTCTGCAGCAAATCCATCCTATTGACACCTGCAGCACCAACTTTAATTAAACACTTTTGCTGCTGCTGCTGCTGCTGCTGCTGATGCAGCTGCTGCTGCTGATGCAGCAAGGGAAGAGGACAAGTGTCTACATAGAGACGAAAAGATCGGTGGGGTTGTAAACACTCGCGCACGAACACCGCGCGCATGCGCTGCAGAGACTCCATTCACTCTGCTGCTGCTGCTGGTGCTGCTGCTGCTGTTGCTGCTGCTGCTGTTGCTGCTGCTGCTCGTGCTGCTGGGATGGTGGTGGAGCGCAGCAGCAAATGACTGCTGCTGCTGCTGGTGTGTGTGTACGTGCTGCTGCACAGCCACTGCCTGTTGTTGTTGCTGCTGCTAGGGTAGGCTGCAAGGGAGAGGGAGAGCAGCAGCAGCAGCAACAGCAGCAACAGCACCAGCCGTGTGCGTGTGTGTGTGTTATGTTGACTAGGGTTTGAGGTGTCTGCTGAGGTTTTGCGTTTAACAGCCTTCTTACAAAACTCAGTACACACTCACTGCTGCTGTTGCTGCTGCTGCTGCTGCTGTTGCTGCTGCTGCTGCTGTTGCCGCTGTTGCTGCTGACCGTTGAGGAAGTTAATAAGGAAAATAAGAAGAAAAAAGCAAATGTCTTCTAATAGTATTTAATATAATTATTATTATAAAAGATAAAAGGAAGAAAAGGGTTTATTTTATTATTGCTGTATAGGTGAATGCGTGTACTGGCTACTTTGAGCCGCCCGACTGGCTAAACCCTAAACCCTAAACCCTAAACCCTAAACCCTAAACCTCGTATACACCGAGATAGGGAAAGAACATAAGCAAATCATTGCTTTCTTCTATTCTTCCTCCTTTTTTGTTTAATTTTATCCTTTTATTCTTTATTCTCTCCTTTATGAGCTGCGCATACACCAGGCGAACAAACAAACCCAGCAGCAGCAACCAGCAGCAGGAGAGCCTCGATGGACACCGCAAACCCTAAACCCTAAACTCTAAACCCTAAACCCTACTTGTTCATACGCGGTATTAGAGACGAGCAAACCCTATTTTTGTCCTTCTCTTTCTTCTCATGCTATTGTCATCTGGTCTTCTTCCTGCTGTTTCAGCAGACACCCGCCAAACCCTAAACCCTAATCCCTAATCCCTAAACCCTAAACCCTCGACTCAAAACCCTGCAACCTCCTCCTGCCTTCCATCACCGCATCAGCTGTTTGGGCATGAGCCCTTTCTCTTGGGCTCCACGGTGACCTCGAGACGAACAAAGGAGGGTTTAGGGTTTGGGTTCTAGGGTTTAGGGTTTAGGGTTTAGGGTTTAGGAAGATGCAGGAACCCGGAGTTGCAGTGTCTCTACGTGTATTCGATCTATCCGAAGGGAAGGCCGCTCTCTTCGCTCCTCTCTTCCTTAGAGACTGCAAGAAGGGCATATGGTATCTAAACCCTAAACCCTAAACCCTAAACCTTAAACCCTAGCTAGCCAAGACAAACAGCTGCAGACGTCCCTTCCTAGAGCTACGACACCAGCAGCTAGCAACTCTGTTTACTGTCAAGGATTTAGGGTTTAGGATCTAGACTTAAGGTTTTAGGATCTAGGATTAGTGTTTAGGGTTTAGGGTTTAGGGTTTAGGGTTTAGGGTTTGTGGTGTATTCAGGCACACAAATGTTTGTGTATACTCAAAAGAATATTTTTATCAATCAACGATTTGTGTTTGCCCAAGAGGCAGCGGATGGCCAGGAGAGAAACTTCTTACAGATGAAATCTCGTAAACCCTAAACCCTAAACCCTAATAAACCCTAAACCCTAAATCCTTGTTTCCTTCTCTGCATTACTTACGGCACTCTGGTTCACACGTGTCAATCGATGCAGCTGTGTGACTCGAGGGTTTAGGGTTTAGTGTCTAGGGTTTAGTGTTGTGGTATGAAAGGGCACCAGTATCCAACAGCAACTAGGGTTTAGGGTTTAGGGTTTAGGGTAGGAATTCTATTTGCGGGGTTTATAGGATGGGGAGGACACTAATGAAGGAAGAAGACCTTGAGGCTTTCTTACATCTACAACGAAGATCTTTTACCCCAGTAAACCCTAAACCCTAAACCCTAAACCCTAAATTCCGTTATTCTATAGGAAGTTAGATCTTGTTTTATATACGAGGACCTCTCTATGCTTAAGACCAAAAGGGTTTAGGGTTTAGGGTTTAGGGTTTAGGGTTTTGCATATTTATACAGGACAGCTACGACGTTTTTTCTCATAATTGCAATCATTTCTCTCAAAGTGTTTTGCGGTTTCTTGGCGTTAAACCCTTGCCTGCATGTGCGTAAAAAAAAGGGTTTAGGGTTTAGGGTTTAGGGTTTACGGGTTGTTTTCTATCGGGTTGCCTCGGTGGTATTTCTGTTCTTCTTGTCTCCCCCTAGTCTCTCCCTTCTTCTGGCTAAACCCTAAACCCTAGACCCTAGCCCTTCACAGAGTTGCCCGTCTTCCCGGGAGTCTGTCGTACGTAGACTCCCTAGGGTTTAGGGTTTAGGGTTTAGGGTTTAGGGTTTATGTGTACAGATATAGCCACATTACCTGACCGAGTGTTAGGGACAGTCTTAGGGCAAATAGCAAAACCAATTGTTGAGGCATCTGTAAACCTCCGTAAGAAGGAGTTACGTACGTCTCTAAACCCTAAACCCTAAACCCTAAACCCTAAACCCTAATTTGTATATTTAGGGTTATTCGTCATGCTAGGAGATCCATCGGATGTCTATGTGTTCCGTTTTTGCTGTGTTGCACCGAGTGACACACTCTACTACTTTCTAGGGTTTAGGGTTTAGGGTTTAGGGTTTGCGTATAGGTCGTACAGCTGCAGAAGCAGAACTACAAGGAGAAGTATTTTATTATGGTGGTGCTGTCCCTTGTGTCTCTAATTGGAGAACAGCAGACAGCATAAATAATCTAAAAAGAGCAGCAAGGAGACAGCAGCAAATATTAAGGCAAGAAAGAAGCAGCAGCAACCGTTCTGCTGCTGCTGCTGCTGCTGCTGCAGGTGTTGTTGATGTCTTCCTAGATAAAAACATCTCACGTAAGGCCAAACGCAGCAGCAGCAACAGCAGCAGCAACAGCAGCAGCAGCAGCTCCAGCAGCAAGAGCAGCAGAAGCGCCAGCAGCAGCAGCAACAGCGTAGAGACACATGCAGTAGGAGATAATTTTACAGCTGCTGCAGCAGATTTGTCAGCAGCAGCAGCAGAAGCAGCAGCAGCAGCTGCTGCTGCTGCAGAGGACACATTGGGCCTTCGTCTTGCCACTTGTCTTACAGATGCATGGAGGGGACGTAACGAGGTTGTTGCTGCTGCAGCTGAAGGAGCTTGTGCTGCTGCTGCTGCTGTTGCTGCTGCTGCAGCAGCAGCAACAGCAGCAGGAGCAGCAGGACAAGAAGCTTCAAACACGCAGCAAACAAATGCTGTCAGCTTCCCGTCACCGTTAGAAAGAACAGCAGCAGCAGCAGGTGGTCCTGTTGCAGCCGGCGGCAGCAGCAGCACGAACAGCGGCAACAGCAGCAGCACGAACAGCGGCAACAGCAGCAGCAGCAGCAACAGCAACAGCAGCAGCAGCAAGCCAAGGAGTTATCCAAGCTTCTACGCACCACGCAGACGAGTGCCTGACGTGTATGCGAAGCACCGCATGAGTCTGCAGCAGCAGATGCTGCAGCAACAACTGCAGCAGCAGCAGCAGCAGATGCTGCAGCAACAACTGCAGCAGCAGCAGCAGCAAATGCTGCTGAAGAGGGGTCAATTGATGCCCTCCAGAGAAAGAGCAGCGCAAGCAACACCAGCAGCAGCTCCAGCAGCAGCAGCAGCAACAGCAGCAGCAGCAGCAGCAGCAGCAGCACGATCCTCATGGGGGAGACCTGATGCTTGGCGTGCTGCGCCAACGTCTCCCCCACGGACGCTGCGCAGCAGCAGAACTGCTTCGAGCTGCATTAGCAGCAGCAGCAACAGCAGCAATAGCAGCAGCAGCAGCAGCAGCAGCAGCAGAAACCCAAATGCATGGCAGAGCACAGCGGCGTTAGATGCCTTTCTTGATAAGTGAGCGACACGAGAACAGCAGCAATTGCTGCAGCAGCAACTGCAGCAGCAGCAACTGCAGCAGCAGCAGCATTTGCTGCAGCAGCAACTGCAGCAAAAACAACTGCAGCAGCAGATGCTGTTGCAGAGAGTTTAATACGCAGCGAAGGTTGTCCATATGGCACAACGTAGGGTCAACAGCAGCAGCAGCAGCAGCACTAGCAGCAGCAGCAGCAGCAGCAGCAGCAGGAGTACCAGTTCCATATACTAGTGTGTAGTTGGGTAGCAAGTAGATGGTGAGGATGCTGCTGCTGCTGCTACTACTACTAAACCCTTTTTCGGTTCCTTTTTCCTGCTGCTGCAGCTTGCCGCAGCAGCAGCTTGCTGCTGCTGCTGTTGCTTCTGCTGCTGCTGGCAAAGGCCATGGCTGCTGCAGCAGAAGTAGCTGTCTAGCTGCACTAAGGCTGCAGCTATTCTTTCTATTGTTGCTGCTGCTGCTACAGCAGCAGCTGCTGCTGCACGTGTGAGTCTCTTAGTATAGCCAGATACTTCCGATAGCCAGCAGCAGCAACAACAGCAGCAGCAGCCGCAGCAGCAACAGCAACAGCAGCAGCAGCAACAACAAAGTTTAGAGTAGCAGCAAGACAGCGACAAATAACAAACGCATTTAATTTTATCGGTCAGACAACCAATCAGGTAAAAGGAGACCAGAGATCCCTCAGCAGCAGCAGCAGCTGCTGCAGCTGCTGCTGCTGCTGCTGTGCTGTTGCTGCTGCTGCTGCTACTGCTGCAGCAACTGCAGCAGCAGCACAAGCAAAATGGCGTACTCTAAAGAAAACCACTAGGGTCCTCTTGCCGCTTTGTGCTCTGTTGGGAACCTCGAATATCTGCTGCTGCTGCTGCTGCTGCAGCAGGAGCAGCAGCATCAGCAGCAGGTGCTGCTGCTGCCAATGCTGTTGCTCCAGCATTCGCATTGGCCTTGTTGCTGCTGCCGCTGCTGCTGCTGCTGCTGCTGCTTGCTGCAGATCCCTGGGAACTCGACACAAAAATCGGGGGACAAGGCAGTGCCAAATGCTGCGACGAAGGGGGGCACACATACCCCAATTGCTGCTGCTGTTGCTGCTGCTGTTGCTGCTGCCGCTCCGGTTGACCGCCACTGTAGGGCTGAGTCGCTGCCTTGAAGAAGTCAGCCGGTGCACAGCAGCTGCCAGGTGCAGCAGCAGCAGCAGCAGCATCAGGCAGCAGCAGAGCAGGCGGTCCTGGGCAACCCGCGTGTCGAGGGAAGTTTGCTGCTGCTGCTGCTGCTGCAGCAGCAGCAGCAGCAGCACCTGCAGCATGCGGAGGAACCGTTGCTGCAAGGGCAGATGACGCTGTGGGGACTAATGGGGATGATAGAGGAGGCATAGGCACAAGGGGAACGTTGAATGCTGCTGCTGGTGCAGCAGCAGCAGCTGCTGGTGGTGGTCCTGCTGCTGATGGTGGTGGACCTGCTGCTGCTGCTGCCGTTGGTGCTGCTGCTGCTGCAGGGAAAGGAAACCCTTGGCATGTGGGGAAGGCGTTGCTGCTCGACATCTGCGGTGTATCCACAGCAGCAGCAGCAGCAGCAAAAGCAGCATCACCTCTTGCTTCTGCAGGAGTTGTTGCTGCCTGTCTTGCTGCTGCTGCTGCTGCCCCGCTGGGGCTCCAGGGCCCCACACGAAACCACCCAGGTGCAGCAGCAGCAGCAGCAGCATGCAGATTCTCCTGCGGAAGTTGTGCTGCTGCTGCTGGTGTTGCTGCTGCTGCTGCTGGTTCCCCTGGAATTTGTGCAGCGTCATTAGCAGCAGCAGCACCAGTAGGATCAACACATGCTATTTGCTCCTGCTGCTGCTGCTGCTGCAGTTGCTGCTGCTGCTGCTCCTCGCCAAAGCAACGAGGCAAGGCTGGATTAAAGGGGACCAAAGGAAATGTCCTCGATGCAGGTGACGCAGCATCGATGCTGCTGCTGCTGTTGCTGCTGTTGCCGTTGCTGCTAGCAGTGCTGCTCCTGCTGTTGCGTCTGCTGCTGCTGCTACTACTGCTGCTGTGAGCTCCATCAGCAGCTGAACCACCAACAAGCTGCTGCGGTTGCTGCGGCTGTTGCTGTTGCTGCTGCTGCTGCTTGTCTCCATCGCATGCAGCGTCCGCAGCAACGATGGCACGACAAGAGGATGACGATGTCTCGTTTGCTGCTGCTGCAGCAGCAGCAGCAGCATAAGCAGCAGCAGCAGCATCAGCAGGCTGCTGCTGATTCCCTAAAGCAGCAAAGAATGCAGCTGCCCATACACCCGGGAGTACGCTGTCTGGGCAGCTGCCATCTCCTCCTCCAAGCATCCCCACAAGTGCAGCAGCAGCCAATGGGTCTCCTGCTGCTGCTGCAGCAGCAGCAGCAACACCTGCCGATACACCTGAACGATAAAAGTGCAGCGCCAATTCAAATACGGAACGAAAGGGATATAACAGCTCTGTTAACCCCCCTCCTCCTTGTGCTGCTGCTGCTGCTGCTGCTGCTGTTGCTGCTGCTGCTTCGGGGCTATCTGTAAGAGCAGCAGCAGCAGCAGGAGCAGCAGTAACAGGACGGTGGTAGCTAGCCTCTGATACGCCAGTTGCTGCTGTTGCTGCTGCTGCTGCTGCAGCAGCAGATCGGAAATCACTGGGGGAAAATGCATGCGCTAACTGCTGCACCCCAGGCCTATGTGGCACATTCGCTGCTGCTGTTGCTGCTGTTGCTGCTGCTGTTGCTGCTGCTGCACTGTCAATAGGGGGGAAAGGAGACCCTGCTGCTCGAGCAGCAACGTAGTGCTGCAGCAGCTCCACCGGATGAGACAGCTCCACTGTAACTTCAGCTGTACGCATGCAGCAGCAGCAGCAGCAGCAGCAAAAGGAACAGCAAATAGGAAAGCAGCAGCAGCAGCAACAGCACTTACAGTGCAGTGGCTGCCGCTGCAGTGGCAGCAGCAACAGCAGCATATTCATGGGTCACAGCAGCAGCAGCTGCGCAAAACCACGCTCAAAATGCAGCAGCAACAGCAGCAACGACACATCTGCAGCAGCAGCAACAGCAGCAACAACAACAACAGCAGCAGCAGCAACATACCGAAGGTAATGACAACGCAGAAGTATCCCTTAGAACAAGGGGCATCTGATTGCTGCTGCAGTTGCTGCAGTTGCTGCTGCTGCTGGAGCTGCAGTCGCTGCTCTTGCTGCTGCAGAAGGATTTGTTGCTGCTGCTGTTGCTGCTGTTGCTGCTGCTGCTGTTGCTGCTGCTCTTGCTGCTGCTGCTGCTCGTCATTAAAATCAGAGAAGTCAACATAGCGGAAGGGAGTCTGTCTACCATCAGGCATCGTCATCTGTACATAACACCAATACCTGCCTATACACCCCAATAGCTAGCTAGCTGCCTATACACCCCAACTGCTAGCTGCCTATTCAAAATAATAGCTAGCTGACTATACACCACAATAGCTAGCTGCATATACACCCGAACATATGGCATAGTATTTAGCAGATGTGGAGGGAACCCGTACTATAAACACCTTGAGATATCGTAAACCCTAAACCCTAAACCCTGAACCCTGAACCCTAAACCCTAAACCCTAGTTACCTGGAAAATAGCAACAAATCGCATAAGATCGATAAGAAGAGTAACCGCACAACCCGATTGTAGAGGCTCTAAACCCTCAACAGCTTTCCTCTCTAGTATCGATCCTCGTCCTGCACACAAACCCTAAACCCTAAACCCTAAACCCTAAACCCTAGTCCCGGAATCAAGGTCACGGCTCGGTGGGAAAAAAGAAAGCACGATGCTGTAGATGGTCACTACTAGGGTTTAGGGTTTAGGGTTTAGGGTTTACGTTTGCATAGTTGGCCTTGTCTATTTACGAAGACAGAGTTTAGGGTTTGGATATTCTTGCCGCAAGGAACCCTCGCTGAGGCACACACCAGATAGGGTTTAGGGTTTAGGGTTTAGCCACGGTAAGCAGCAGCAGCAGCAGCAGCAACAGCAGCAACACACGTATCCTTATCAGCACTAGCGTCATCAGCAACAACAACAACAACAACAGCAGCAGCAGCAGCAGCAGCAACTGCAGCAGCAGCAGCAGCAGCAGCAGCAGCTTACAGGCGAAGACGAAGCCCACACCGTCTGCTGCACTGATTGGTCCTGCAGCAACAACAGCAGCAGCAGACAGCAGTAGCAACAACTGCAGCAACAGCAGCTAAAACAGCCATCTGGATAGCAGCAGCAGGCAGCACCAGTAACTGCAGCAACAACAGCAACAGCACCAATCTGGATCGCAGCAGCAGCAACAGCAACAACAACAGCAGCAGAAGCAGCAGCAGCAGGGGCGTTATCCAGAGCAGCAAATAACGGCAAATATTATTATCATAAGCACCACCAGCAACAGCAGCACCAGCAGCAGCAACAACAACAGAAACAGCAACAGCAACAGCAGCAGCAGCAGCAGCAGCAGCAGGAGTACCTTGTAGGACTTTATAGGTATAAGCAGCAACACCACCAACTCTTAATTGTCTCTCATAGACAAGAGAGATCATTCCTCCTTTCCTCTCTTTCTTGAATCGACGATCCCCAGAGGACAGACGCCCCACACGGCCAGCATCGGGATGGAAACGGGGAGGAGACCAAGGGGGAGCGATCGATCCCGGCGATCCCAGAGACGATCCCATTGACGATCCCATAGACGATCCCATTGATGGTCCCAGAGACGATCCCAGAGACGATCCCGATGACGATCCCATCATAGATCCTAACGATCCCATCATAGATCCCATCGATCCCATCATAGATCCCATCGATCCCATTGACCCCACAACCGATCCCATCGATCCCATCATAGATCCCATTGGTGTCGTTGGAGATCCTATTGACGATCCCATCATCGATCCCACCGATCCCATCGACCCCACAACCGATCCCATCTCGTTCCCCCTCACCAACTCACGAAAGAAACGACCCGCATGCAGCCCCAAATGTTTTTCTTGTTTCTCTTCTGTCCATTTATCCTCTATAGAGGAAGGACCCCAATCAGACCCACCAGGGACTCTTAAGCTTACACTCCTGTTGCTGCTGCTCTTATTGTTGCTGCTGCTGCTGTTGTTGTTGCTGCTGCTGTTGTTGCTGCTTCTGTTGCTGCTGCTTGTTGAGGAATCATTTACGCCAACTCCTCCATCGCGACTGCTGCTGCTGCTGCTGCTGCTGACGCATGCAACAGCAACTTGCTGAGGACCACGACGCCTCTGCTGCCCCTCACGTCGGGAAGGGGCCACATAGTTGCTGCTGCTGCTGCTACTGCTGCTACTGCTGCTATTGCTGCTGTTGCTGCTGCTTCTGTTGCTGTTGCTGCTGGGAGAGGCTTTCCTCTCATGCGAGGAACCGTACACCCCAGCAGTCAAGCAGGCCTGCTGCTGTTGCTGCTGATGACGATGCTTCTGTTGCTGCTGCTGATGATGATGCTGTTGCTGCTGCTGCTGCTGCTGCTGCTGCCGATGCGGCTCGAGGGCCCCCGGGGGGCCCCCTTGTGATCCTTCGTGAGCCATGGCGGGGCTTTGCCACCATGCTAGGGTTTAGGGTTTAGGGTTTAGGGTTTATGATAAAGGGTTTAGAGGTTGTCGGAAGGTACTCCAAGAGCGGCACCATCGGTTTAATAGGAGAAGCGCCTCGAAGTCCCGCTGACCAGTCTAGGGTTTAGGGTTTAGGGTTTAGGGTTTAGGGTTTCCACGGTAGAAAAGACTGCCTGCTCAGCAAATGCACTTTGAATTCGCCTCGAAGGCAAACACAGATATCCAAACTGCAACAAATATGCTAAACCCTAAACCCTAAACCCTAAACCCTCATTGGCGTCACCAGCCCCCGCAGGAGCGGGGCCTTCGCAGCCCCGGCCCTTTCCTGCATACGAATTAGGGTTTAGGGTTTAGGGTTTAATTTCAGTGAAAAAAGTGTTAATTTATGTTTCTTCTTCCTTCTTTATCTTCGTCTCCCTCTTATACAGCAGGGCTCTCTGGTGTGTAGCGCCAGCAGCAGCAACAGGGACGGCAGCAGCAGCGACGGAAGCAGCAGCAACACAAGCAACTGCAGCAACTGCAGCAGAAGCAGCAGCATTAGCAGCACTATATAGAGCATTATTTGTACCCGCAACAACAGGGAGGCGGTGGAGTCGGCAGCAGCAGCATCGACGGCAGCAGCAACAGCAGCAGCAACAGCAGCAGCAACAGCAGCAGCAACAACAGCAGCAGCAGCAGCAGCAGCAGAGACACAATGACATTTGCTGCTCTTAGAGTTTTACGGTGTCTCTTATACACGATTATATAATGGAAGTCTTCTTGCTGCTGCTGGTCTTTGCTCTAAACCCTCAGCGTACACACCTAAACCCTAAACCCTAAACCCTAGACATCCAGAAACCCTAAACCCTAAACCCTCCTCGCATCGCAAATAAAGATGTCTCTCTTCTCCCTCTCTCGCGTTCTTCTCACACCGCCCAAAACCCCCAGGTAAGCTCCTTACACAAATACCTAGCTAGGGTTTAGGGTTTAGGGTTTAGGGTTTGCGAGACGTTCGTTCCAACTCTCCAGACCGCGTAACATTTGTTGCTCATGAGTCCCTGACCAAACTATTTAGTATTTATTGTTTTTTTTTTAATTTTTAATTTTTTAATTTTTTAGGGTTTAGGGTTTAGGGTTTAGGGTTTAGGGTTTAGGGTTTAGGGTTTGTATATATATGTATGTCGTAGGAACGTATTTTTTCCATGGCAGACGGTGTGCATACACCGCAGTGGTTCTTTTATTGAATCTCGTCGTTTATGCCTCCGTGTTCCTGTTAATTTAACAAAAGAAGAAATAAAAAATTATTTAGAGGGTTTATATAATGCTAGGGTTTTGAAGGTAAATACTCTTATTAAGGTACCAGAGAGAAGAAGAAATCTAGATGATAAAAGATGTAAGAATATAAACCCTAAACCCTAAACCCTAAACCCTAATAATATACATAAAGATACACACACAAAATATATCTTTTATACGGAATCCACAAACCCTAGCTAAACCCTACTAAACCCTAGCTAAACCCTAGCTAAACCCTAAACCCTAATTCCTTGACCATATAAGTTGTATATATCGTACGAAAGTGATTTTTTCAGATTTTGAGGGTTTAGGGTTTAGGGTTTAGGGTTTAGGGTTTATAATATGTATGTGTATATAAATATAGTGGGTTATCGTCGTGCAAGTTGTACATATAAGAAGGCAATAATAACCCTAGAGGAAGAAGTACCAGATACAATTAAGATGCTAAGATCATCAAGAAATTTATGCATAAACCCTGATTTAATAAAAAAAAATAATATTTATGGTGCTAATAAGGATAATAAGCGTAAACCCTCAAGACATCAATTATATGCAGGAGGAGAGATGCAGCATGCATGGACACTACCTATACCTAATCTACTCGCAGGTAATTAGGGTTTAGGGTCTAGGGTTTAGGGTTTAGGGTTTGTATGTATTGATATTATCTGTACTTAACATACTACTACCAGATAATCAGGGTTTAGGGTTTAGGGTTTAGGGTTTTCTGGGGTAAAAAAATTTGGTTTTTTTTTCTTTTTTTTTCATAAACATGAAATTAGGGTTTAGGGTTTAGGGTTTAGGGTTTAGGGTTTATGTTATATATATTTATAGGTGACGATATTCGTTTACACCCTACAAATAGAGAAGATCCTTCTTCTTCCTTGGAGTCTCCTGATGTTCGTCTTCCTTTTCGTCATGGAGGGGTTTATAATTTTACATATAAACCCGAGGAAGTACCTCAGCAGACACATGTACCGGTAAGCAGCAGCAGCAGCAGCAACAGCAACAGCAGCAGCAGCAGCAGCAGGAGGTGATGCAGCAGCAGCAGCAGTATAGGGATAGGGGAAAAGTTTCCTGATATCGCCAGCACCAGATGTTACAGAGATGCAGAGATATTAAGGGTTTAGGGTTTAGGGTTTAGGGTTTAGGGTTTATGGTGTGCATGCAGCTCGATCTAAGACCATGGAGACAGCGTCTATCCAATGCACAAAACCGCTATAATAAATAAATAGCTAACTAGCTAGCTAGCTAGCTAGCTAGCCAATTAAGCAGCTAGCTAGCTAATTAGCTAGCTAGCTAGCTAGCTAGCTAGCTAATTGGTGATTTAGTATTGAGGCCATCAAGTGATGGATGTGTCCCTCAAACCACAAATTCAATTTTTTTGTGGGGAAAAGAAGGGTTTAGGGTTTAGGGTTTAGGGTTTAGACCAGGGACAGGACAGGAGACAAATAAAAGATAGAAAGGAGACAAATAGAACAGACAACTAATTTACTCCCTAGGGACCACAAAAGGGTTTAGGGTTTAGGGTTTAGATGCAGTTCTTGCATTTACAGG